GTAAAACCGGCCTGCGACCGGACATCGTTCTCCATTCTGCGCAAAAACGGCAGCTCACCCTGATTGAGTTGACGGTCCCGTTTGAGTCGCGTATGGAGGAGAATCACTTGTACAAGCTCGAAAAGTACAGTGATTTAGCAGCCGGTTTGAGGAGAAACGAGGCTTACACGGTACGGGTATTTGCCGTCGAAGTGGGAGCGAGAGGCCTCGTTTCCACTTCGCTCTACAATGTGGTGAAAGAACTAGGATTGCGCGGTAATGAACGGAAACGAACACTTAAAAAACTGGGAGAGGCAGCCGAAAGGGCCTCTAGCTTGCTTTGGACGCAGCGCAACAACGTAGGGGACGGGCCTCGGTGAGCTGGTCCGGGTGTCTAGCGGAAAGGAGTTTCTCATCCCTTTGAAAGTCCATCGTGTACGAATTGTCTGCCAGTGTCCCTCTGCCAACTGCTAATAAAAGTCCAACATGTGTCCGGTAAACCAAAGTAAGCTTGTCGCTCGGTCGTCCAGGCATGCGGACTGTTTTAATTACGCTGTCGCGGCGGCTTCTTATCTCACAGTACCTCCTTCGAAACCACTAAGTCGTCTTGTCTCTGGCCAAAATAATAACACCATCCGGTAATTCTGTGCAGCGGGGAAGCAGCCCTGAGCTTCATGAACTCAGGTAGGCCCACCTCCGAATACGTTTAGGAATCGTGGGCCGAAACGTGTGTCGACGAGGATAATTTCTACTGATGACTGTAGATCCCCGCTGTACTTGCTCCCTGTGAGTTTATTCTTATTGTCGTGTTCTTCAGTTAGTGACAAACGCTGACACTGGTAAACTGAAGTGAGATATTTTATTTGAAGTTTTTCTTTATTTTGATTATTTCTTTATTTATTGATTCATTATGAATAGCTAGGTGTTGCAAGATTGAGTTAAGTTAGTAATGTTCTTGGCTTGTTAGATCGTCAAGTCTCTCTCGTTCTCTCTCTCCTTCTCTCTCTCTCTCTCTCTCTCTCTCTCTCTCTCTCTCTCTCTCTCTCTCTCTCTCTCTCTCTCTCTCTCTGTGAGTGTATGTCTCCCTCTCTGTGTGCCCTTTCTGCTTTTCTGTGTAGAAATACCCGTAAGTTTTTAAATTCTTGAACTTTTTTGTTAAACTTTACTCTTTTATCATTAGGTATTTGGCTGTCTGCCCTCTGCTAATATTCATGACTGGATATTTTTTCTTTTTATTCAGCCATTGATTTGCAAGTGATTTTTGAGGCAGCTTTCGTGAACATGGTCCATGTGACCCTGTGGCTCTCTACGTTCGTCTTCTTCTTTTGTCGTCTCACCGTTGCCAGGTTGTAACCCAGTGTCGTGGTGTATTGTATTTGTCCTGCGCTTCTTGGGTTGCTTGAGTGATGAATTTGTTTAACTTTTTGTAGGATTCGTCTACATAATTTATCTATATCTTTCTTGGTCTTCCTCTCGCCTTCCTCCCAGATGTTCTACTGTAAAAAGTCGCATATGCAGTCTAGCTGCCTTCTCACTACATGGCCGAACTATTTCATTCTTTGTCTGTCAATATAATCCAGACATGTTCTTATTCCAACTTCCTCTCTAATGCTGGTATTCGTAACCCTGTCCTGTATAGTGTTGTTAGTGACTTTGCAGAGACATAGCATTTTACATGTAGTTATTTTCTGTTCTAGTACCCTAATTATTGTCCATGTTCAGCATTGATAACATAAGGTAGAGATAAAGATGCTGTTAATCATTTGCTGTTTTGCTGGAAGGGAGACATTTGGATGTCTAATAAGTGGGGCTAACTGGTAATTAACAGCATTTGCCCTCTGTACTCTGGCTTATATCTCTCTTTCGAGTCTACAAACATCCGTATATATGCTTCCTAGATATGTGAATTCTCTTACTTGTTTGAATGTAGTACCGTAAACATAAACATTCATGATATTATTTTTTCTGCCTATCCTCATTACCTCAGTTTTCGCGGTATTTGTTCTCATGCCATACTTTGTGCAGGCGTGATGTAAGGAGTCAAGATGGTGTTGTAAATTCTGTTCTTGGTGGTGTATTAGACACTGATTATCTGGAGAAAAAATAAGTTCATTAATTTCTGCAGTCTGTATTTGCCTCTTGTGATATTCTATCCACGTAAATAATGAATGGAAATGGTGAGAGGGCGCTGTCTGATACCTGATAAGATAGGAAGCCAGTATGTCATTCCTTCTTTTGTTCGTACAGTGCACTGACAACCTTGGAAAAACGCCATTATGTTAACCAATATTTTATCTTGAATTCTATAATCTTCTAGAATATGTCATAGTTTGATTATGTTTACTCAGTGGAATGCCTTCTTTCGATCTATGAAAATATGATGTTGACTTCTATCATATTCAATAGACTACTCGCATATCTGCCTTAAAGAAAATATTGCATCAGTATAGCTCTTTCCCTTCCTGAATCTGAACTGTTTCTTCTTACTTGACTGGGGCTATAGTACCGGTAGATTTCAAAGTTCCAATATTTTTGCAAACATCTTTCCAGTTTGGCTCAGGATGGAGATGCCATTGTATGTTTAACAGTCTATTGTGTCCACTTTATTTTTCCAAATGGGGACAATGATTGCTCTCTGCTAGTCACCTGGAACTCTCTCTGCGCCTCCCTCCCCCCAGCCTTGTTAAAGATTCTGGTTAACTAAGCTGTTGCTGTAGTCTTAGAAGCAATGAGCATTTCCCGCTATTAATAACAGCGGAGGGGTTGCACTTTTCTTCTCTCAGTCTCCTTGCTTTGACACTTCTGTAAAACTTCATGATGACTCAGTGCATAATTGTATTGTTCTCCAAAGTCTGCTCAAGATTCTTTTTTTGCCGCTTTCACTTTCCTTTAGCTGTCTCCTCTCGCTTTTCTGTAGCTGATATAGTCTTAATCTGATTTTGTCTTCTGCCACTTACAAAACCAGTTTTTCTTTTCCTGGATAGAAATTTTAACATCTTCATTCCACAACATTGTATGTTTTTTATGAGAGCTCAGCTTTTTGAAGCCCTAGTTCTTTTTTACTGTGTTCAGGATGCAGGTTTTAAAAGTCCTCCACGCATCTTGTATGTTTGATTGCTTTTGTAAGGGTGTTGAAGGAGACTGACTGCTCTGTCCATTACCTAAGCAACTTCTTTATCTTTACGTTTCACAATGTTTATTAGCTCTGCTTGTTGAATTGGTTTCTTGGGGTGTTTTCCAGCTAGTTATTTAAACAAAAGTACCACTGGTCCATGGTCTGAATCTATTAGTGCTTTTGGAATGACCCTGGAATTCATTACTCTCTACCTCTCTTTCCTCCTTGTAAAAAAAAAAAATCAATTTGTTGTGTTTGATTCAAGCTGTTCCGTCTATACTATGTTAATATCTGACGTCTTCGATGTTGATAAAAGGTGTTACTGATTGATAATTGGGTCATGTTCTGCACATAAATTCAGCAGTTGTTCTCCGTTAGATTGACATTCAATTTTTATTTTGCTGAAAGGTCCCAGAGATCCCATGGCATTCTGCGCGCTTTAACTCTTCCATTAAAATCTCCCAGTATTCACAACCGGTCAGTATCTTTAACTTTTCTGATGGTTCCACTTAGTTTGTTGAAGAATTTTTACTTCAGGCGTGTATGTATGATTTTATGGGGCGTATACTTTGATTTTTTTCCTGCCTAGTACTAACCTGATGCTCATTTTTGTTTCTGAAATGTAGTCTGTTTCTAGTATAAATTTTGGTATTTCTGGAGCAGTGATGAAACCCACTCCATGTTTGTTAGTCTCATTCGGCTGGGTGCCTCTCCATGGCGAAGAGTATTTTTCGTGTAGTTCTTTTTTAATACCTTGCCCTCTTTTTCATTCTCTTTTTGCACTGTAGAATAATCGCTGCTTACGTCAAAGAGCAACACATTGAAGTCTTCGTGTTAAACGATACCTGTTGGCATTGGGCCTACGTTGTATCTTTTTATTTGTGAAATTGACAGAACATACCCCATTCTCTCATTCCTAATTGAACTGGGAACCAATCTGCGAGGTCAGCTCTTGGTCTGACTGCGTTTTCACTATCTCTGGCGATACAATCTAGCATTGATTCCTATATTCCATAATCCCATCCTCATTCCGTATATTGCCAGTTGGCGTGGGCGACGTTCATGCATCTTCAAAAGCTAGATCGTTGGTGTTCTAGATTAGTTCCACTAATGACATTCTTTCAAGCCACTGTCTGAAGTCATCCACCATTATTTCTCTTGGTCTGCCCATGTCTCTTCTACTAGTGATCTTTCCAGTTGTCAAGATATTTTCCAGTGCTCCTTTTCACATCACATGACTAAAGAAATGTGTGTGACTCCTTTTCATGTTGTACAATGTTCTACTTTCATTAGCCATTTCCAGGCAGTGATTGTTACTTATTCTAGCAGTCCAAGGTATTTGCAACATTCTTTTCAAGAGCCACATCTAAGCTGCTTCTAAACTCCTAATTCTTATTCACTGCCATACAACAAAACAGGCTCGACATAACATGTCAGTACTCGTTTTCTGATGTTTGACGAGAGTGATCTATTACATACGATTCTTTTCATTTTCTGAAAGCCTGCCTTTGGCTGGTAACTTCTACTCATACTTTCTGTTACACATCGTCTATCTGATCTTATGAATGTCCCTGAATACGAGAATTTATTGACTTTGTTAGGCAATTTTTCTTTCATTGCTATGTTACATTTTGGAGTTATTTACGAGTAATTTTTAAGAAAATCTTGGCTTACTCTATCGAACGTGTCCTACTGATCTTTGAAAGCGTTTTTAAAAAATATTTAATTTATATATTCTTTTGTCGCCTCGCTGATTTGTTTTGGAGAAGCTCGGAATCGGTTCTACAATGGGTCTTACTTGTTGTTTCAAAATCCTAGCAAATATTTTGCCCACATGACTTAAAATATGGATTCTTCAAACGAGAGGCAGTTAATGTGTTACATTTGTTTACTTCTATTTGTACAGGCCGCCAGTTCGCAATATACATGGGATAAGAATATCCAGACTGCAGTGACGGGGTCATTTTTCTGGGGATACTGGTTAACAATGATTCCGGGCGGATGGTTGGCAGAGAGGCAAGTCTTATTCAAACATAATCGTTTCTTTGTTTTTGTTTTTGTTTTTCTTTTTCCTTGATGTTCAGATATAGTACAATATCAATACGTCCGTGCATCTTGTTGCATAGTATTCTAAACCAAAAGTCTCCATATTTAAAGACTTTGCAAGTTTCAAATACTCACATACACATGTTACTACAATAACAAGTGTGTTCCCAAAATTGTGACTGTGATGTGCTTCCTGGTGCTTTCCCGTTGTATTTTAATGTTGTAAAATCTTTACACTGCGACGGGCTCCGTCATTTTAACTTTGGTATTTTAAGCTTCCTCCTTATACAGACATATATGCATACATACATAGCTACTTAATACATACATACACAAACAGACACACACACACTCACACATATTTATATATAATGAATCACATACATGCATACATACATAGCTACATACATACATACACACACACATATATATATACATAAATACATACATGCATACATAAATCTATTACCCGTCTGTAATTTACCATGAAAATGTCACTAGGATCTCTGCCATCATCCCTTCGTCAAGTGTGAACCAGCCAACTATCCAGAGATTCAACATTGAGAAAACGGTCATAATGTCTGATCTTTTTAATACCTCAGTGTTTGTGATCAAGTCCTAACAACTCTCTGCTACGTACTCTTTTTAGGCACCGCACATGAAAGCTGTTTAGTCGTTTCTCCACGTATGAAAAGGTTGACACAATTTTTGATTCATACATAGGGCAATGAAAGGCGCTGTTAGAAGCTGAGGTATTAGAGACGTTTGCATTGAAGAGAAAACAAGGTATAGGTCACATTAGGACACAGGAAAGCATTTCGGAAGGGTTTCACGTCAACTTGGGACCAACCATTTACTACCCTGCGACTCCCTTCCACACACACAAACAAACATAGACATACACACACATACACACATACACACAACACACACACGTACACATATTCACATACATACACATACAAACACATTCATTAAGGCTGCAGATGCAGCGCAGTTTTTTTTAACGTAACTCTGCCGTCTTTTCAAGGCTTTCAGGCCGGTGACGAAACATTTAGAGGTGCGATCGGTCTGGAAGAGGCCCACAAAAAATAACATTGAGCAACTAATGTATCATCTAACGGAAATTTAACCTTCTTCGTGGTTTCTTGGGTGGGTATATGCTGCACTATTCCAAAGGAAGGTGGTGCGCTAATGTATTGTATTCTCAGCGAATAACAGTTGGTCCAGGCCTGCCTCAAGATTCTCCTCTGCCTCTAGTCCAGTTCTTTATCTACACAATCCAGAACACAACTTAATGGCCGAACAAGAACACTTTCATATGGAGATAAAATCCTCGTACACTGGTAGAGCAGCAATTAGAGCTGACGTAGTCTCTGCACTACAAATTGAATTAAACACACTATCATAGCTGTTTACCATCTCTGGGGCCACGTTTAGCATCCAGGCGACAGTTACTCGGCTCTCCCTGAATAACTATATTGTGAAAACCACATCGTCGTTGGGAGAAGTGTAAGACCGGGACCTGGAGCAGTTTAACAATGACACACCTGGGGTGTGATTTGATTGATGTCTATCATTTAGACCAGCGTCTGTCGCTTAGGGGTTATGAGTACGTAATTTCGAGGTGGAGGGTTCGATTCCAGCTGCGAGTGATGTGTCAGCAAACCGCTTTGGTTTGGTTTCAACAGTGGTATCGAGAGGCAGTCGCTTAGAAAGCAGTGGCAAACTACTAAACGTAAAATTACTTAGAAAAATCAAACAGCTAAAAATTGCTGGGGTTATTTCTGCAAACCGACATGTAAGGGATACGCATGATCCTAAGAACTTGTAGACTAAGCCAGCGGTTCTGAAACTAGATGCCGAAGCACCCAGGGGTTCCGCAAGCGTATGCCAGGGGTGCAGCGGCAATAATCAAGAATTTTTCAAAATCTGCTTGAAATCAGTGAAGAAAGCAGTTTAAAACAGAAATACTGCGAAGGAAGCCACGAACAGTTCTGGATGCATGTATATTCAGAAGACAATGCTATTGCCTAGGCTGCAGTTCTTTCTCAACGTACGCTGACATAAAAAATAAAAAAAACTGTTACAGAAGCACACTTTCTGGGTCAAGTGATTTGACGGTAAAATTAACTTAACGTCCCATAAACATAAAGTAAATAATGAAAAATTCATCCAAACAGTTTCGATCATCGCATTAAAGAAAGCCGAAAATTAAATGTGTATCGTTTTTTTCTTCTTCTTTTCCTAAGTATTCAAACCACTCTGAGGGTAGGTGTGCCGCGAAAAAAAAAAGTTTACCTGATAAGGGTGCCGCGGCGGAAAAAAAGTACAAGAACCGCTGGACTAAGCTATTACCAAAGCCAAGAAAGGTATATGGTCAACACACACACACACACACACACACACATACACACAAAGTAACAGCTGCTATGAACTTTGAACAACTGTTACTTGTAATGCTTTACCAGAGATTTAGTGCTCTCCACAACTAAATATGCACTGGCCATCATTGCACTTAGCGACACATAAACAAAAAATTAGAAATTTGAAAACGAGCAATTTATACTCTTCTGGCATGCACTAGAGCCACATCCTGCAAATTTATACCTCTTGAAATGTCTTGCAATGAACAACATAATCACACTTTCCAGGGACTTAAAGATAAAAACAGGCATTCGACGCTTCATGAGATGCCTTTAAGTTTAAAATAAACATTATAGAGACACATCTTGGATAAGTCGATATGAGGATTCCATCCACCAGATCTGCCGCATTTCAGACCTTAATGCATGGAAGGAATGGTTGGATTTGCCAAATGGTTTAAACATAAATATATCGGTCTGTGCCAGTAATGATAGAAGCTGAAGGAAATAGACACCCGACATAGTGGATACTTTAGTCAAAACATTGTTTGATGAGAACACGAATGTAGATGATGCTTCGGTTTATACGGATGTATCAGTCTCATGAGACAAGTGAAGAGCATACATGCTCAGTGTAAGCTCAAATGGGAAAGGCTTCAAGGAGATCAGTAAAAATAAAAAGTAAAGTTCCCTCTTCACGCCTTTCGGCGCATCGGGCATATGGGCAGAGCGTCCCATATTTTTACAGACCATCAGCACTCTGTGGGTAATGTGGTCAGCATTACGCCGGCTGTCTTTACTTTCCCAGGACAGCCCATCCTGGTACCTATTTTAGGCTGGGTCGACCTGCGACGTCCCATACCACGATAAAGATCCACGCAGCCTGCAGTGGGTTCCGATCGCGGCATGCTGGCTTACGAAGGAGATTAGTCGTGCCTTTACTGTTTACAAACACCAGCCTTACAACAGGGTCCATGCATGCAACTAGGGCATCGCCTTGGCTGAGTAGTGAAGAACTCCTACATGCCTGCATAGTGCGCGACTGAAAAAAAAAAAAAAAGCTTAACAAAATTAAGGCTTGCTTCTTCAGACAAGAATGGATTCTCTTATATATTGCATCATAAATAACTCGCCTAAACTTTTTTTGTGGCGAGCCATGCAGATGGGCTATGCAATGAGCGTGCAGATTATCCGGTAGGAATGGCAGGCGAGATGTGTAGAAGAAAATCACGACAACAAACATGATCCTTGTCCAGGTTGGTAAATGTAAGAATGAAACATGCAGCAGCAGACATTTCACAGAGGGCACAAGTCGTCTAATTAATCGCCACACAAGGGACAGGACCAGTCTTTTCTCTCTTGCAGAGCCACTAAGGAGGGGACTGCAGCAACAAGGGATCCATATGATATGAAGTGCTGTGACGGTAGTCCTCACTAATCATTAATCACCAATACACACATATGTGTACGCTTAAGCAAGTACCTAGGTACGTGTGTACGTCTATACACACTTACCCATTAGCACACACATATATAAATATGTTTTGTGTTATACATACAGGTATGGCGGTAAACGATTTATTGGATGGTCGACTTTTGGGTGCGGTATTGCAACTTTATTCATACCGCTGGCAGCACATATAAGCTACCGAGCCTTGATATTTATAAGGATACTATTGGGAGTGTTTCAGGTTGGTCCATTTACTTTGTTTCATTGTAGCTCAATAAAACCCCAAACACTGATAGACTGGCTCAGTGATTTCATTGTCTCCCTTTCAAAAACTAATCTACCGATGTGGATATTTTTTGTTTGCTTTTGAATGTTGAACTCAAAGAATATGACGGAACCAACAGTAAGTGTGTGGTGTTTTAGGAACCTAAAAAATTTTGTTGTTGTTATTGTTTGTCTTGTTTCTAAGAGAATTGAGTTGAGTATATGCATATTAGTTCATTCAGCAAGGTGTTGACAACAAGATATCAAGGACAAACTAAAAATGCTTGTTCATGAGGCTATAGAGATGGCAAGGATGCTGGTGGCATTTCTGTGAGCCATTATGAAAGTGACGTTCTTCAGGGCACAATTTTAATTATGATAGCGATGATAGTGGTAGTTATGTGTATCAGTGCTTATTGTAACGTGTGAACCCATTCTATAAATGTGTAAAGTTAAAAAAAAAAAAACTAAATTCTAAAATTTTAGCACTCCAAAATCGGTTTAGTTGCAAACATCTTCGAGTTGAAATGGTCATCTGTATGGCTGCCTTGTTGTTTAAAAGGCGACTGGAAACCGCTAAACCGACAATTGCCTACGAAAACAACACAACCTTTAACTGTTATCCCTAGATAAAAAGAAAGAACTTGTGCATTAGTGAAAGGGGAAAACGAGCAACAAGTAAAGTAATTACATCAGAATATGTTCTAGGAGATTGAACAACCATGGTGATACACAGTTTGTTGAGACTGCGTCTCTCTTAAGCTTTACAGACGGTATAAACATTTTAACGGCACATGATGATGATTTTAAAAATCCTTACCTGCACGCACAGGTTATGGCGACTGCACTAGCAATGCGGCTTTAAATCCTCATACTCAATATAGCTGAAATAGACTCGTGTCCTGCTTTAAACCCTTGACGACTATCATACACGAAAATCACCAGAGGCCTCCCACAACACTACACGGCGCGAAACATACAATTTACAGACCACATACAAAAAACAAACCTGACACCCCTGTGACAGAGAGTGGGACATGTAAAAGGACAGGAAGGATTGATGAACGGCCAACGACACAGTATTCTGATTGGAGTTAGTGACTTGTTTAAAAAAACCTGGCAACAAATGTACATCTTGTTTGTTTTTGTTTGAGCTTCCGGGACACATCCACACCTGTGCGTGTGTGTTTGTGTGTGTGTATGTATGCATGCGTGTTTGTGTGTCTGTGTGTGTGTCTGTGTGTGCGTGTGTCTGTGTGTGTGTGGTGTGTGTGTTTGTGTCTGTGGTGTGATGTGTGTGTGTGTGTGTGTGTGTGTGTGTGTGTGTGTGTGTGTGGACATTTACTCGTCAGATTCAAACTATTGTCGTCACTATTCGTGCTAAACACCGTGGTTATCTCCTGACGTTTCGTCGCAGTCTGTGGCTTAGACTTCATGGTTCGGAAGTTCCAGGTTCGATGCCAGCGACAGACGATTTAAACACAGACCGCCTTGCGTTTTTTTTTTTTTTTTTTTAGACTGTGGTATCAAGAGCGAACCGTTCTGACCAGATACCCCGTTCAGAAACAACGGAAAACTACTGAAAGTAAAATTGCCTGGTTCGGAAAACAAATAAAGCTAAAATGTTGTGGCTGGTTCTGAAAAGTCCAAGAACCGCAATTAACCTGTAAAAATTAATTTTACTTCGGGAAGTTAAGGTCATGGGTTCATGTTATGAATTATGCTGTTTCATACACGAATGTGCCAAGATCCCAGAGGATCGTTGCTGGAGTTCCTGACTTTGTGATTTGTTTGACGATCCCTGCAGGCGGCCTGCCTTTCTGCGAATACCGATTTTTTGGGATCGATTACATCCTTACTCGTAAAGGACTGCCTGTTTAATAAATCTGGCATAGTCGTTACGACTGTTCCAGTTATGACTTCTTTCTACGCTGAACGGGGTATCTGGTCAATGCCATGTTGGCCTACCATCCAGAGTGAGATTATTAAATCTCAGGGTGTAAAACTTCAGATAGTTGTGAAAACGCCATCAGTGCAGCGCACATTTTGGATAACATTCGTCAGATTCTCCCACTGCGAACTTGCTGTTGAATGCTGTTTACCAAAAAGGTTTCCTCTGTGGACCAATGTCCGATTTAGTCGATGTGTGTCGGCCGAAGGACGCAAATACTACAGATGTGTCGTAAACAGTCACAACACAATTAAGTCACTGGGGCGAGCAATGGAGAAGACGACTGCTGTTTATGTATTTCACTAAATTTGACAGTGTTTTCTGTGTCGACACGGTTAAGGTTTTTGTGACTGTTGTTGTTATACTTTATAGTTATATTGTTAGTAACGCTCAAACGGTTATTGCCACAGCATAGCATTATTGGTTATTGCAGAGGAAACGGAGCATGGAATGCTCCCAGTGCAGTCGTGTAAATTCGTAATTGATTAATTGTTTGATTGATTCACTCATTCTTTCCACAGCATAGTCTACTGGCTTGCTCCCCCAGTTTTGGTTGCCTCATCGATGATGATTGCACGTAGAATTCGTTTCTCTAAGTATAGGACTGTTTTTACGTCTGTGACGCATCAGCGATATCAATGGAATCTCTTTCTCTTATACATCAATGGACACATAATGTAGGTCGCCTTTACTTGACAAGGCATTACCTAGTACCCATTTTAGGCTGAGTTAACTTCGAAGCAGTCAATGAAGGAAAAGAAAAAAATCCAGCCTAGAATTGGAACCAAAGACATACAGGCTAGCAGGCGTGCGTCCAAACACTACACTACTTCTTGTGTAGCTATGAAACTAATGCATAATATGTAAACTGCCGATTACTGTCTTTATTATACCAATTTTGCGGTGTAGGCGGGGAGGGAGGAAGTCTTTGAGCCTGATCAACTACGGCCGTTTGTGACAGACTTATGGCTGTGAGTCCTGGACAATCTGTAGGCAGGCAAAATAATTTCTTGAGGCCTCAGAGATGTGGTTTTCTGAAGAATGCTAAAAATACCTTAGAAAGCTAAAAAGAGCAACCAAGAGGTTTTGAAACAGGAGGGAGCCCGAAGACAACTGCTAATCACAGACATCAGCAGGAGACAGTCATCATTTTTCGGCCATGTTATGAGAAGAGGTAAAATGGAACATGTTGTGACCACTGGAAAGATCTTTGGAGGGTGGGATAGAGAAAGACAACGAGAGAAGATTTTATGACAGTCTTGTTGCATAGCATGGAGGTGTGTCAGCACCTGATGATGATGATGATGACAGACTCATGTCAGTTACCCTGTGTCTTTTTTTTTCGTTTTCTATTTTTTTTCCTCCAGTTTCTTGTACGAGATGTCGGCTGGAGATAAATAGTTTATTTTATTTGCTCAATCTTAAACTCAACTTGCCAAACAAGGCACCTCACGACTAGATATTACTCATGGGCACCAGTCAACTAAGTGCATACTGGTCTAAACAATAAAGGTATAGCCCCACATGTCCAGTAAAGGAGGATTCTTTCTTTTACTTTGACCAATCAACATGTTATTAATGTTTGTACATTTTACATTTAGTCAAGGCATACTCTAGCACCCCCATATATGCATACGTTTCTTACAAGGGTTGTATTTTTCGACACCGTGATTGTAGTAAACATATAGTATTGCTATTATTATTGCCTTTTTTAATCATTACGGTCTAAATATAGTAGCGCTGAAGAAGAATGAGACGGAAATAGTTATACGGTACTGGTACCATCGGAATTGGAACTGTTCGCTTGCTGCTGAAGATGGGGACTGAGCACTTGTGGGAGTGTCCCGTGTGCTGGGATGTCGATTCTAATTCAAGATTCAAGATTCAACAATAATTCCTTTTATAGGCATAGGCTACAACTTTGTGGGACTGAAATAGTTAAGATCTCTATGATAAAATATCTCAGAGAGAATTACATGACGTATTAACACTGAATGTCACTAAGATTTTCAGTATCCTCTACTTTTCACAGGGAGTGACATGGCCAGCAATGTACGTTATTTGGTCTCAGTGGGCACCGCCACTGGAAAGACAAAAGCTTTTGGCTCTTTGCTTTTCTGGTAATCGTTGTACACTAGTGTTGTAATTCTCTTAAATGTGCTTTTAGACTTCAGTAAGTAAAAAAAAAAAAAAAAGTGAAAGGCGCATTTCCCCACTTTCAGGCGCATTGGGTATATAGGGCTAGACATATATTTTAGAAACTAATTGATACTCCGTGGGTGATGTGTTCAGCATCACGCCGTCCTCCTTTACTCTGCAGGACTGCACCTGGTACCTATTTAAGGTTAGGTCGAGCTGCAAACCTTGGTTATTTTTTTTTAAACGTCTGGCTCCACCAGGACCCGAATCCACAACCTTCCGATCCACAGGCGCGCATCTAGCACCACGGGGAGTCCCTCAGAATACAGTGGTACCCCAGTTCTATGCGATTCCGATGCTTGAGCTTATACCAAACAAGACGTTTGCCAAACTAATTTTTCCGTAATAAACAAAAAGGGGGAGAATAATTATTCTGTCCACATGAAATACAATTTATATTGTTAATTGCATATAGTTATGTAATTATCATCATTGTCATAATCGTCGTCATCATCATCAACACCCCTGCTGATAGGCGTTGTGGCGAGAATAATTTTCGATCATTTTCACGCTGCTTATTATCATGCTGTAATGGCGTAAAGTGTCTTCACAATTGTCCATCAACTATTTTTGTTGCCGTCCTCTGGCTCTTTTGCTGATCTTCTGTGATGTAGTGTCTGTTATTGTATTTGATGGTACTATATTCACATTTAGGAGTTTGTGAAATCTGATGTGTTGGTCAAAAGACGCAGAAACCGCAGGCCTAAAATACATTGTTAACTTGGAATTCGGACATGTTCGTTCAGAGACGTACGAAATACAAACAGATCGAATTCCAAGGTGAATTTTTCCGCACTGAATATAATAGAAAAATTTTTTTATTAATGTGAGCCAGGCTCCAACAAACTCCAGTTTTAAAATGTTCTTTCTAGATGCAGTTCACTGTAAATATAGTAGCATATGATAACCATATCAAACTACAAACATTAATACATTTTTTACAAAAATATTCAAACTTTATATTCACCGTACCCTGGTGACAATGGTGACACGACACATAGAAGTTAGAGGAGGATGGGGGATTTAGGAAGAGTATTTTTTGCAAAGTGTGACACCGTTCTGGGATGACATCAAGAGTCCTGAAGGTGTTTTATATCGCAGTCGTTCACCACTTACAGAAGGTTTAGGGTCAGTTGTTTTTGTTGACGGGCAAGGCTCCATTATGCTCTGGTGTTGACAACCATTTCTCTGAAGTGTTCGATAATGTCATCATTGAATAAGTTAACGCATCTTTTAATAAGGACTCTCGGTGCCGCCTCTGAGATACTTCTTGACAGTTCTTGAATTTTAGAAGTGCTAATTCTTCCAGCTTCCACCTGCAATCGTTTCAGCGTCTTCTGTAGTTTCTTCCTTCTGCTGCTAGTGAAGGTACTGAAGCTCTTGTTGTTAGTGAAGACACGTGGTCGGCACATGCCACGTGTTTGCTTTTGAAGGCGATGTTCGAGTTCCCAGGCAACATTTGGTTGACAATTTTTTTAGAGTTCGAGTTTTGAGGCTTTTGAATTCCGAAACACAACTGTAAATCAAAATGTAAATCGATGTCTCTAAGATTCCTTATGATGGCATGACTATGGCATGTTTCTATGTGTATTTGGTAAAATGGTGGTTCGCTAAGTGTATTTCAAACTGGTGCAAGAGTTTCTAGACGGGCTGTAGTAAATGGTAAACCAACCGTATTCATTATTTAGCAATATCTCACATCTATCCAAGTATTGCGAAGGGCAATCTCCGCATTGCAGGTTTAATCGAAAGCATATCCAGCATATTCTGCATTGCTTCGTGTCTGTGTATCTATACAGATTTCATGCACACCGTCTCGTGTTACTGTCCAGAGACATCTTATTTTTTCACAAGCGCTTCAAGTCTCGGCATACTTCATGTTGCAGCCAAGAATATAGTTTATGGAATTATTTAACTCGCTTGACAGCATCTTATCTTTAATAAATGCTGCAAGTGTCGGTATACTTCATGCTGCATACACGAATATAGTTTATGGGATTATTTAACTCGCTAACCAGCATCTTAACTTTATTAAATACTGCAAGTCACGGCATACTTCATGCTGCATACACGAATATCGTTTATGGGATTTTTTAACTGACTTACCAGCATCTTATCTTTAATAAATGCTGCAAATCATAGTATATATCATGCTGCAGACACGAATATAGTTTGTGGAATTATTTAACTTGCTTATCGGCATCTTATATTTAATAAATGCTGCAAGTCTCGTCATACTTTATGCTGCATACACGAATATAGTTTATGGAATTATTTAACTCGCTTACCAGCATCTTATCTTTAATAAATGATGCACTGCTCGGTAAACTTGATGCTGCAGACACGAATATAGTTTATGGAATTATTTAACTCGCTTGACAGCATCGTCTCTTTAATAAATGATGCACTGCTCGGTATAAACTTGATGCTGCAGACACGAATATAGTTTATGGAATTATTTAACTCGCTTTAGAGCATCTTATCTTTAATAAATGATGCACTGCTCAGTAAACTTGATGCTGCAGACACGGGTATACTTCATGCGATTATTTAAGTCTTCCACGGACATACTTTGTATTAAGTAAGTTCGTAAGTTTAACCCCACCAGGACATTACACAGAGCGATAAACACACGGTGACACAAAGTGTTACCATGCGGATAAGGAACATCTGTTAAGAGGTCCCGGAATCACTTTCAACACTTAGGCTAAATTGCAGCGCCCATTAACAGCCAGGGTAGAGCTTCAAAACAACGAACAATTGCATCCCACAAGGGTGATGACGGAGTTTTTAATAAATATGCTTTATACTACGTACACAAATATAGTTTATGGGATTTATAACTCGATTACCGATATACTTTATGCTGCAAACACGTACATAGAAGGGGCTGCGTGGTCTCGGGGCATGGCGTCCGCCTCGAGTGCTGGAGGTCCCGAGTTCAAGCCCCGCGAAGCTGGGATTTTGTTCCCGTGGAATTCTAGTAATTTTCCCTGGTCTCTAGGTAGTAAGATCCGACGCCCGTCTATATTAATGCGCACGTAAAAAATCCCTTGGCATTTGGAACTCAAAACAAAAGTAACCTTACGGCGCTTCCAGTGCAAAATGTGTAGTTTAAAATCTAACCCAAGTATTTCAGGATGCCTGCCTGTGCTACGGAGTTCGTGCACTGCGCTGAGATTTTTCGGACTCAGGCTTAATTCAGAAGTAGAACGAAATACTGATGGGTTACTACTCGTGTGCCATGATGTTGATCTGTCGTCTAAGCCTTAAACTAAACACTAATATAGTTTATGTGAATGTTTAACCCGCTTACCAACATATTTTATGCTGCACACACGAATCTAGTTTATATGATTATTTAACTACTTACCGACATCTTGTCTTCAATAAATGCTCTATCATCATCATATCAGGTGCCTTGCCGACTGGCGTGGACGATAATGCCTCTCCACAATCTGCGATCTCCTGCAGCATGTATCAGTTCAATGGCCGACACACCTCCATGCCATGCAACTAGATTTTAAGAATCATTTCTCGTTGTCTTTCTCTATCCCTATGTTGTATTTTCCCTCTACTCATAACATGGCCGAAAAATGATGACTGTCTCCTTTTGATGTCTGTGATAAGTTGTCTTCGGGCTTCCGCCTCTTTTAAAACCTCTTGGTTGCTCTTTTTGGCTGTCCAAGGTATTCTAAGCATTCTTCTGTAAAACCACATCTCTGAGACCTGAAAAAAATTGTTTGGCCAGCCTACCTATTGTCCAGGATTTACAGCCATATGTTAAAACTGCATGTATGTAGCAAGCATGAATTCTTTTTTTATCTCTCAATGTCAAGAATATATTACACAGAATGTTCCTAATTTTATCAAGTTCAGTTTTTGCCTGTCCTATTATGTTTCTTATCTCAGTTATGTATCTTCCATCTAATGTTATCCGTGTGCCCAGATACTAAATATTTATGTACTTGTCCCAAAATAACACCATCGATTTTTATTAAACATTTAGGAATACTTCGTTTCTTTGATACCACCATTAGTTCTGTGTGCCCATTATTCAAACTGAGGTCCATTCTTCCACCTTCTTAGACCACAATGTCTATGATTTCCTGTAGTTCCTTCTGACTTGTTGCTATCAAAATTGTGTCATCAGCATAACGTTAATTATTTATATTGTGCCAACCAACCACAATTCGGGGCATATCAAATAAAGATCTCATTATATATTCACTGTATATTGAAAACAAATCAGGCGACAGTACACATCCTTGTTGTACACCCCTCTTCATGCTTTGAAATGTACCTAAACAGTTGTTAATTCTTATAGATGCTGTTTGCTGCCAATACATATTCTTTATTATTCGTAGATCTTTTCCCCCGATGTTTAGTTTTTCTATCAGTTTGATTACTTCCTCACGCTTCACAGTCAAATGCTTTTGTATAGTCTATGAAGCATAAGTACAAATCAGTCTTTACTTCTATAGCTCTTTCAGACAATATCTTTAGGATGTATATGGCATTGTTTGTACCTTTTCCTTCTACAAATCCACATTGTTCATCGCTGATTTCTGGTTTAATTTTGATTCTTATTCTTCTCATAATTATTCTCAGTAAAATCTTAGTCATGTGACTCATTAGACTTATTGTGCGATGGTCTTCACATTTTAGAGTGCCTGTTTTTTTTTTTTGTTTTTTTTTTTCAGAGCTATAAATATGGATTTTAAAAGGTCATTTGGAATATACCCACTATTATAAATATCCATTTAAAGTTTTGTTATTATTTCAATTTTAAAATCTCCCATTGCTTCGATTTCTCCCAGTGAGTTGTTGTCTGGGCCGGGTGCTTTTCCTTTCTTCATATGATGTAATGCATCCTCAACTTCTACAGTCATTATTGGTGTATCATCGTTGTTGGTCTGCAGTTCTACATCTGGTCTATTATCATCATACAATTCCCCTATATACTCTGTCCATCTGTTAATTATATTACTATGTCCCATTAATAAGTCACCATCTTTTGATTTTAAACATCCAGTGCTGTTACGTGTCATCTTTCCTGTTAACATATGTATCTGTTGGTACATGGAATGTGAGTCTTTCCTGTGATTTTCCCCCAATCTATGTACACATTTGATTCAGCCAGGCTTCTTTAGCCACTTTGCATTTGTTCACTATTTCTTTTTTGTATTCTAGAGTATTCTTCCTTATCATTTTTTTTCTTCCTTCTTTCATCCATCAACTTCAGATTTTCGGTTGACACCCATTTTTTTTTTTTTTTTTGCAACTCTTGGGTTGGTGGGATTGTCTCTTTTGATGTCTGCTAAATTGACTCACGCAACGTATCCCACTGTTCAGCAATGGTCCGTATAATTTCCATTGAATTATACCGGTTTTGTACAGTGACATTGTACTGTTCCTTAATTTCTTAATCCGTTCTAAGAATTCCTAAATTTAACTTGATGTTCTGTGGGTTTTTTAAAATAATCTTCTTTGTTTTATTCTAATTTTTCCTTCAACTGGAACATAGTAACTAAAGCAGTCTGCTCCTGGTCAAGTGTTGCTCCAACTAAGCTGCTTCTTGAAATCAAAATATAATCAGTCTGATTACGGACATTCTCGCCAGGACTTTTCCAGGTCCACAATCTTCGAGGATGGTGTTTAAACCAAGTGTTACCTATTATCATGCTGTGCGACTCAGCCCATGCTATTAATCTGTCACCTCTCACATTCTTTTCTCCTAAGCCATAGCCACCCGTTATTCCGTACACTTTTTCGTTTCCTATTTTCGCGTGAAATTTCCAAGTACCACTGTTATTTCGCAATTTTTGCGTTGATCATCAGCCATGTGTAACTCGTCATAAAATGCGTCAGTATCTTCCTCTGAACTATATGCTGTTGGGGCATAAATCTGTACTAAGTTGATGTCAAACGGTCTGCCGCGAAGTTTTACTAATAGTACTCTATCTGAAATTGTCCAAAATCCTTTCACAGTTTTTGAGTTCTTAGGATCCAAAACAATACCAGCTCCCTTGCTTTATTCCTTTCCACCTGAGTAAATAATTATGTATTGATCTGAATACTTTCCCCCTGCTCCTGGCCATCGCATTTCACTTATTCCTAATATATTGATGTTCGTTCTCTTCATTTCCATCTTGATGTTATCTAACCTTCTGTTTTGTACGAGTGTTCTGACATTCCTTGTACCAATGTTCAGGATATTTCTACCATTTACTTTTTCTACAGTAGCTGGATGATGGTCGGGTATCACCCATAGAACATGATGCTTCCTACCGGACGAGGTGATTCCACTGAAATCCCCATTCACGTCGTCATCTGAATTCGTAATATTTTGAGGCATGGTTTAGTGGGGATAATACAGCGGTGGTTTCCCTAGCCTTCCGCTGATTTGTATATGGTTTGACTACAAAAGCCTTTGTAAAAAGACTTACCCTGCAAGGCAGCAAGGGAGGGAGGTGGGGGGGGGGGGGGGTTATTGTGCCTCTTACCCGCTGATAGCCATGTCGTAGAGTTTCGCGGTATTTTATAGAGTTAGCTGTTCCGCGCCTAGTAGTAGGACAGGCTCCTACCCTAGGATAAATGCTTCACAGCTCGGTAAACTCGATGCTGCAGACACGGGTATAGTTTATCGGATTATTTAACTCGCTTACCGACATATTTTATGCTGCATACACGAATGTAGTTTATTGTATTATTTAATTCGATTACCGACATCTTATCCTTGGTAAATGATGCACAGCTCGGTATGCCTTTTGCTGCATACACGGATATAGTACGAGATTGTTTAACTCGTTTACAGCCACATTATCTTTAAAAAATTCTGCACAGCTCGGTCATGCTGCGTACACGAATATAGGTCTGTCCTCTTTATTTCTTTAATCAGCGTTGATAGCATTGCAGTGTGTTTTTTTTTTTTTCTTCTAAACTTATAATTTTTCTGCGTCCCTTTTTTAAAAGTGCCGTTAATACGTCGTGTTTAGACTGCGAACGATATCTTTGTCTTTTATTTTAACACATTTGAGTAAGTAAACCTTTAAACCGCAGTATTTTGCTTTTTTTTACGACATGCTTGATGAGAGGCAGTGAACACATCTTTTTTACGAAGTGGCAGTAAAACGTTCAGCTTGCAATGGAAGGATCTTTGAAATTATCAAACGCCGCAGGCTGTCGACCGTTTGCAAATAGGTTCCTCGAAGCATCACAAAGATACCATTTCTAAGGACACGATTTTTCCCCCTGAATTTTAGCAGGGAGAGGGAGGATTAGAGAGCAAGCGAGAAATGAAGAGAGGAAATCTGAGAGAGTGCAAGAAGAGAGAACGAGAAAGAGGGAGGGAGAGAGACAGAGAGTGAGAGAGAAAAAGAGAGATGGACAACTTTATATCAAGATCGTTAAATGTATCATCTATAGGCTCATCTTTACCAGCAGTCAATGCAGTGTGTGCAGTGGCATCACCGCAGTTGTCAGGATTTAAAGAAGACGGGTGATATGGAGTAGATACCCACACTGTGCCTTAACAAGCTTTCCATTACACGGCTGTTAATGTTATGCTGAAATCGGATGAATTTGCGTCAAAATGCACAAATTGCGCGACTATCTGTCAACTACAATACAAACAACCGCAAGAAAGATGCAAACATTTATGTGTGTCTGTGTGTTCGTGTGTGTGTAAAGCATACGCATTGTCACTGTAATCCGGTGTTACATCTCAGGTTCGACTTTTGGAGTTGTTCTGACCTACCCTGCTGTGAGCTTATTGTGTAACTTTCACGAAGAGGGCTGGACGTATGCATTTTATATAACAGGTTAGCGTTGCGATCGAATGTTTATGCATGACTGCAATTAATATTTAGAGTCAATACTATTTTTCCTCGCAAAAAATAGATGTTGAATTTTAAATAAATAGTCAACATCATGGCACTTTTAACACTTCCATAAACGTCCCGCCAACATCTTTAGCAGCAAGCGAAGAGCTGCAATTCCGATGGTACCAGTAGCTGTCTGACTGTACATCCTTCTCGCCTTTCCCTTGAGTGTTGAGCGTCGGTCAAATTCCCCGTTAACTCCCCGCAGCGCTGTTCTACTGAGACAGCAGTGATCGGAAATAGATGAAACTCAAATGAGGTGACTTCAAAACAGAATAAAGGGGAAAACAAAAAGAGAAATGACTGGACAACTACATGTATCATTAATCATGAGTCAAAGAAGATGGCAACATCTTGGGCATAAAATGGACAGGAATGGACAAATAATTGCCAAACAATTACTGGAATTGTAAACACAATAACTGAGGAAGAAAAGGCATCCACGAATAACTATGAGATGAACGTTGCTGAGAGACGCCAGATGGGCTAGACCGAATTCCACCCATGATATCGAGATGTTTGACCCAATAGCGCAGAATGGGGACCTAGACTTCCAGCCCTACAAAAGGATGATACTAATGACGATGATGATGATGATGATGATGATCGCTATTAACAACGCAACTGGTGAATCTGCCACATGTTATTACGTGTTCAAAAATGCATAAGATTGAAAATGGGTCTAGTACTTTTCTCGATGCCGGAAATACGCGGTGGATTACCTACGGCCGTCATACAGATGAAGACGCCTCTATCGACAAAGCGTATCTGGCTATGTGTATGTATGAAAAGATGACAGCAAAAGCAAAACATGGCAGCCTGGAACCTGAGCAAGGCTGATTGCTGCTAAAGACTACCAGCGAGTATAAGTAAACTATAGATCCCTTTTCATGCCTTTAGGCGCATCGGGCATATCGGGAGAGAACCCATATTTTTACAGACCAATCGTCACTATGTGGGCAATATGGTCAGCGTTACGCCAGCCGTCTTTACTTCCATAGGACACCGATCCTGGTACCCATTTTAGGCTGGGTCGACCTGCGACGCCCAATGCCGTGATACAAATCCACGCAGCCAGCAGTGGGTATCGATCGCCGTTCGCTAGAATTACGAGTTAGACTCGCAAAGCCTAAGCCACGGAATCAGCGACCAGCGAGTGTGATAGGAGTCAAATGTGTCCAGGACGTTCTATGTTGTAAGTCGATGTGACAGTACTGAGTTACTGAGTTGTGGCTTTTGAACCTAAATAAATGTTAGAGGTGAATTTAAAGAATTAGCTATTTAGAATATAGAGGTGACAAATATGTAAGATGGAAAAAAAACTGCAGGACATCAGGAACCTCTACTGGCAGTGGTGACACGTCGCAATCTGGCTTGATGCGGGCACGTGGTCAGACATGATTTGATTGTATAGACTATACTTGAAAGAACATGGGGAAGGTGTGGGTGGGGGGGGGGGATGGTGAGGGGGAAAAAAAGGGGGGGAGGGTGGGTTAGTCAATAAAGAAGGAATAAAGAAGATCTCTGAGCGGAAAGTAGAGTAATTATGTTTTTTCATTTTGTTCTTCCAGGTGCGGTGACAATCATGTGGTGTTTCCTTTGGCATTATTCCGTTTACGACTCGCCCAGCGAACATCCTCGAATCTCTAAAGTGGAGAAAATGTACATTCACAATAGTCTCAAAAAAGAAATGCCAAAAGAGGTATGTATGACTACGTGTGATTTTTACTGATTTATAAATAGACGACATAGCACACTGGGCCTACACATAGACGCTTCGTCTCCCGCTGCACATTTTATAAAAGTTCTAGATACCAACCATCCCTATAGCACTCTGACTATAAAAAAAGGGCCTTTTCTTCCACATACGTTCCTCCTTGCCTGACCCGCTCCTAATTCCTCCTTCCCAAATTCATACACAGGCTTTTTATCATCTAAACTAATGTCTTCTGTCAGCATTTGTTAGTAAATGGTCTTCAGAATGTCGTCCTTGTCCAGCAAGAGTGTTCCTGTAGTTATCGCTTTTGTAGCCAGAAAATCCGCCCTGGCAGTTCCTCGCACTCCTGCATATCCCGAACAGTATATGTACATGAGTCCTTGTAAGGTTGACGTGCTGATACTTAGTATCCACGTATAATGCATATGTCCATTATGAACCTTTAGAAGGTTTGACTGACAATCACTTACAAAATTTTCCTGATTACCCTATTTTATGCTATCCAAAATCAGAGCTGTAGTGATTGCCTTCACCCCCATCCTGATGCTTGAAGTCGTATTTTTAAAAATATGGCACTATTTAATTCTGCCACAATCTGTCCCTTCACTCTATTGGAAAATCCCCATTAGATCTTTAACCCTGAAGAACAGAACCATTGGTACACACTATTGCATCACAAAGCACAGCGTTTTAATCTATCAGCTGATGTATTTCTTAGGCCAAACCGTTACATCATTTTCTACATTCTCTTCCTAAGGTGATAATAACCTGACGGAAACTAATGTTGTGGTGAGTGTTCCACTCGACCCATGTATTTGCTAGATTGAGGAAGGCCAGCGCAAATGCGTATTGGTTCTGATCACTATTTTCCTTAAAAAAATACTTCTTTTCTCTCTAACAGTGCTGCTCCCATCCAAATAGCCAACCATGGGTTAACTCCGCAGTCTATGATGCACTGCATAAGATTTGTGAGATCGACGCCGTTAAAAGAAATCTTCAAGATCTATCGCTACAGTTGCTGTTTCTTGATTTCACTGAAATAATTAACACACATCCCATGCAAGCATACCCGCATTGTCTCATGTTGCCTTTGATGGCCTTTGGTGACTAATAACCATGCCCTATTTTTCTAGGCAAGACATCGCTTCCTAATGCCACAATTTGTTTTGCCATACACATTTTGCAAGATAGTAATTTTACACAGCCATATGTTTATACAATAAGGCAATTGCTTAATAGAGTGCAACTCCCTGTCAGTTTTCTGACTGATTTCCCCACTATTTTGACCGAGCACAAATGTGTCGATTAGGCATTTTCCACCAGACTCCTCAAAAATTGAAAGTAAATCCAGGACACATTCATGAGAAAATGTGTCCCCATGAGTGTTTAGGTTGAAGATGTACCAGTCTTGGTATTCTATTGAAACTACTAATCGTTGAATCTCAATCAATGTTACCTCGCTTATGTGTTCCCCGCGGATAAATTTAGCAGTTATGTCCTGGACACTGAATTCTTGATTCATCTTTTATTGTGGTCTCCCAAATCATAAGAATATTAAAGACTTAACACTATTTTCTACAGTGTAGATGCTTATTCCTTAGCTGTTTAACAGTTCCAGTAACCAGTTCAAATAAGCGTAAGTGATAATCTGTAAGTTTTACTTGTAGTTCTCCTCTTACCAGTTCCTTTTATTCTCTTCTTTTTTTTCGCTTCTCTTACTGCTCCTATCAACATTCGCTGCGAGTAAGGATATCAGAGCAGCGATTACAGTAGCTCCCGCGAAGATTATGTGACAATTTTGATTACATGGGTATAGTATGTATTTCTAGTAAAGGTTAATAAACGGTCACCCCAGTATTGTCCTCGTTGCTGGGAATGGGAGCGAGGGATATTTCATATATCAGCCTGTACAACGACCTGACTGCTTTCATTAACGACTATTCACCCAAAAGCTATGCAGTTATTTTGCTTGAACGAAACGACTTGAACTCGAGTCTGATCTGTTGCCTGAAGTGGAGATTATGATGCTGATGCCGTTGATCCTGAGTTGGCACCATGCCTGATGTTGATGATAATGAGATGTTTGTTGTTGCTGGTTCTATCAAAGGAGATCTGCTTATTAATATTATACAGGTACATGAAGACAAGGACGTGGATGTTTCTTAGATCTCTAGTTCATTCAAACCCTACTCTCAAGTCTGACTAGGAAGGTTTTCCTCCATCAGTGTCAGAACATACTTCTTTTAAACCATGTTCTTCATCTTGGTGTATGTTTCTCAGTCATGCAGTGTTGTCAGACTGTGAAATGTTCGACTGAAATAATGTCCCACATGAGCTTTAAAATGGATTACCTGCAGGCGGGCGGCGGGCGTAGTGATCCGCTCTATAACACTTATTGTAGAGCTCACTCCTCCCCTCCCCACTCAAATAAAAAAATATTTTTTTTGTTTTTGATGGGGCTGGGAAAAAAGTGTTAGGCCCAAAGGTACCTGAGTTCAAGGTTGCTGAGATTATGTTATGTAACAAGTTTTAGCATTATACCTATTTTTCGCTATTGTTGCTTCTATTCCTGTTATTTTATTTCACACCGGCAACATTTACTTTCCATTAGATTACACGGAATCTTTTTGAGGTAACAAGGTAAAAAATACTATATGTTCGTGTTTAGAAATGATCATCATGTGTATCTAAACACAAAAATTCTACACACTTTCTCTTTCCAGAAGACACACATCACACCATGGATGGATATACTGACGTCATCTGCAGTGTGGGCTTATATGACGGCACATATGACTCTTACCTTCCATTTCTTCGCCCTGATCTCATTATCGACCATCTACTTTCAGGACATTCACTATTTCTCAAAGGAAGAGGTAATGTTAAATAAATGCATATTGTAGTGTTGCATATGACCAACCGTTTAAGCGTGCACCGGTAGCGCAGTGGTAAGAGTGCCGGCCTGAAGGTCATCGAATCGAAATCTACAAGGGCAGTTTTGGAAAAGAAGCAAATCAGCTTTGGCTCCCAGATCTTATCATCAGTTAGCATGTCCTGAACAGAAAGTCACTTTCTTTGTCGGCACGCCTGAAAGTCTCTCTTTCTCTCTTTCTATTGCCCTGTGAGCTTTCAGAGCTAATGCATCTTCACCGTCTTGGATCCACTTTCGCAGAGGTCATGTGAAGTCTTCTTCTTCTTTTTCGGCTGTGAACTACGGCGGAAAGTTCTGGTTGTTCGTCCGCTTCTGGACTGCAGTCCTGTTCCAGAACCTGAGTTTTTCGTGTGCATCCGTTTGACAGATCTGTATGCAAACTATTGGTTCCTTGCCTCTCAGGCAGATGCACTCCGACTTCGAAGGAAGCTCCCAATTAGTCGACTGTTACGACATGCTTTTGGGTAGGCAGTGGGTCTATTCTTGTTTTTCCCATAGTAGGGCCCCGGAACCCACATCGGGGGGGGGGGGGGGGGGGTCATGTGAAGTGAAGAAATTCGGTTTGCTGATGACCACATCATTAAATGGATATCGACTGATCAATACAAATATAAAAGATATACTGTCTATCTCCCAAATGCTACGGAATCGAAAAGGTTTCTTTTGTAAACCCCTCACTGGAGCATATCAGACAATGAATTGGTGGGCATATTTGCAAAACAATTGAACAAAGGAGAAAAAACAGACCCAATCATGGTCATTACCAGAAATCAAAGCATATTTCAAGGAAAAATACCTGGAAATATGGAAAGATCAAACCAAATGTAGACATACACAAAACCCCCCAACAGACTCAACAGAAAGCCACATACAACAGAGGCTGCAGGTTAACTACCACATGCATCAGAAGAAAAGACTGTACAGTCTCCACAGTGTACATGTCAGATGGGACCACAAATACACAGCGTATTCTGCAGGCCTGCCCACTCTTCCTGAAACTTCAAAAAGACACCTGTCCTTAAGATCAAAATGTGCAGAGTAAGCTGTAGGGAACCATAAAGGACCTGCAGCAGACATGCGAGTTCATAGAGGCAGCCCACCTGACGGTCTGAACTGAAAATACGAAACCGAATGCAAAGAAGAATATGATCAACAAGTCGGCACTTGATGGGTCATGCGGTTCAAAATCCCACCACCCGTCTTCACTTACTAAAAGATTCTCTGGTCCTCAGGCTGTGTTGAACTAATGGCTTTTTTTTAAAAATAATCGCCTAGTGCGGAATAGAATCTGAGGCTGGGGTGGCTATCTATGGCAGGCGGGGTAAAACTAAACCAGAGAGCATTGTTGTTTACTGACCATCGAGGTAACTGTAAATTTACTACATATTTTGAACAGAGAATACACGAAATAGAAGAACAAATTACTATCTTGAACAGACACATTTAGGAATAAAAGGAATGGCTTCAGTTAGTGAATGTGACTGGTCAGAGGTGTAGCAAGGGCTTTTAATCCTTTATAACCTTATCAAGAATCAAGGCGGGGTACATTCAGAAACAGTGGCTCCATCGAATCAGCACGCAGCAATTTACAAAATCAC